TTAGTACCATGCTTTTAGTACCATGATCACAGAGCTCTGTGATCATGAGCATAGTACCATGCTCTGTGATCAAGGTCAATGGGAAACTACAATAGTTCAATCCAGGCAGTGCTACATACCGCCCAGACCCCTTAAGAATGAATGTTTGGGTCACTCCACTAGGTAAAAAACCACAACCTGCTAAGATGCTTGCTGAAGGCAAAAGCAATACAGAATGGGTAGTAGAAGAAGGTAGTCATCAATACCAGCTATGCCCACATGACCAGTTGCAGAAACGAGGACTGTAATTGTCATATTTCCTCCTTATTTTGTTAAGAACATGTTTGTGTATGTATACACTTGTACTAAGAAAATTTCTTCATTTTATTTCCTTTTTCCTTTATCATGTGACATAAGATTTATTTACTTCATATAGCATTTAAATGTTGTTAACTTTATGTAATAGCATTTGGTTTGGGGATTGGTACATTTCTGGTTGTATGGAGGATAGCTGTATTATGTATACCTAACATAATTATGACCTTATTATTGACTTTATTTGAAGATTATATATGATTTCAGGAGATGCGTATGGGTTCAAGTAGACAAGGGGTGGACTTGTGATGGTTAATACTAAGTGTCAACTTGACTGGATTGAAGGATGCAAAGTATGGTTCCTGGATGTGTCTGTGAGGGTGTTGCCAAAGGAAATTAATATTTGAGTCAGTTGACTGGGAGAGTTAGACCCACCCTCAATCTGGGTGGGCAACATCTAATCGGGGCCAACAGAGCTAGGATAAAAGCAGGCAGAGGAACGTGGAAGGACTAGACTGGCTAAGTCTTCTGGCCTCCATCTTTCTCCTGTGCTGGATGTTTCCTGCCCTTGAACAAAAGTTCTTCAGCTTTTGGACTCTTGGAGTTACACCAGTGGTTTGCCTGGGGTTCTTGGATCTTCAACCACAGACTGAAGGCTGCACTGTCCACTTCCCCACTTTTGAGGTTTTGGAACTGGGACTGGCTTCCTTGCTTCTCAGCCTGCAGGCAGACTACTGTGGGACTTCACCTTGTGATCTTGTGAGTCAATACTCCTTAATAAACTGCCCTTTATATGTACATCTGTCCTATTAGTTCTGTCCTTCTAGAGAACCCTGACTAACGCAAACATGGTGACTATAGTTCATAATACTGATTGTATACATGAACTTTGCTAGAGAATAGATCTGATGGGTTCTCAGCACACACACATACACACACACACAAATGATAACTATGTAAAATAATGGACATGCTAATTAGCTTGACTATGGTAATCATTTCACAATGTACATGTATATCAAAACACTATGTTGTACACAGAAGATATATATAATTTTTATTTGTAAATGACACATCAAAAAAGGTAGAAAAATGCTGCACTCAAAAGGACCTTAATCTCATTTTAGGGTCACACAGTTTATGCACAAGTTTCCATTTTTAAAAATGCTCATAACATTCCCAGTTATTTGGTGGCATGCAATTGGCACCTCTTCTAACTGAACGTTTTTTATTAGAGTTGCTTGGAGGCACAGTCAATAACGGATGGGTATGGATAGCTGCTCCTAGAGGGATATTTTAGCAAATAATATCTATGTTTCCTACACCCTACCAAAGAATCACATAACACTGAAATCTCAGATTTGGAGGGGACTGGGTTGATGTTTAGGTCCTATTCCCACCCAATTCAGGAAATGCAGTATATCAGGCTTGACAAACCACAGTTCACAGACCACATTCGGCTTTGCACCTGTTTTTGTAAATAAAGTTTTACTGAAAAACAGCCATGGCCATTCATTCACTTACTGTCTCTGCCTGCTTTCACCTTACATGGCAGAGTTAAGAAGTTGCTACAGAGGCAGCATGGCCTCAAAAGCCAAGAAGATTTACTGTCTGACTCTACAGATAAGGCTGGCTGAAACCTGCTGGATAACACTTCTGACATAGACCTTAGATTTTCCTGTCAAAATACTTCGACTGAGGAGAAACTGGTTTCCTAAGCAGTCTGCTCCAACTCAGGGAGCTCTAGTTTAATTTTATTTTATTTCAGAGCTCAGGGGCTCTATTTTAATTTTATTTTTAAGAAAAGAAAAAAACTTCCTGTATACTGAAATATACCTCCTTGCAACTTCTACCATTCAGTCCTAGATTTACGTACTAGACCCACACAAAACAATTTATTTTCCTTTGTCTGCTTTTAAAATATTTAAAGACCACAATGACTTGCCCACTAAATCTCCTTGTTTTCTATTCTTTGAAATTACAGTATATCACCTTGATTAGTAAGTTAGAGTTTTCGGAGTCGATTCTTAAATAAATATTTTATGTATACTACTGGAATGCAGAACTACATTTATTAGAAATGTAGGATAATGTTGCCAATACAATATTTTCTGGCGGAATGAAGTAGCATAATTTAAATATACCTGTTGTGCTGTCTTTTAGATTTAGGATATCAAGTGGTGCAGCAGAGTAGTCAACAAATCTCTGTACTTTGTGCAGAGTAGAAAAGAGTTTAGATTTTAAATTTCATCTGTTACCAGGCTCAGCAGAAAACAAAAAACAAAAAGCAATTGGGACAAAAGCACCCTGCCTGCAAATCACAGCAGAAACCCTCAGGGTTTGTTCCTCTAAAAGGTGAAATTACAGACTTTTAACCTATTTAAATATGCTTCTGTGTTTAGTTCGGAGTTTTCTTACAGTGAAACATGTTACATTCTAGTAATACAATAAAACTAAAAAACCTCTGTAGATTCAGGTGAACCAAATCAGAACTAAATTGAAAAGAGGCGTGGTCAGTAGAATTCTAAAATGTTCTCCCAAATCTCCCACTCAAATCCTGGGGACAGTGAATAAAATGAGATTTCACATCTGCCCGTGATTGTTACATGAGAAAAGCAATTCTGCCGATGGCATTAAGATTACTAAACAGCTGACTTTGTGCTCATCAAAATGGAGTCAATTAGAGTGGGCTGAATCTCATCACTTGAGCCCGTTAAAAGTAGTTTTCCTCTGCGGTCAGCATAAGGAGAAGTCAGAGAGACTCAGAGCGTGAGAGCGATTGACAGCAGGGAAGTGCTCCAGCACTGGCTTTGAGATGGGTCGGGGGCAGGACCTGAGAGTCATCTCTGGACCAGAGCCAAAAAGAACATGGGGATTTCACCCCTACCATCAGAAGCTCTGAATATTCCAACAAACTGCACGTGCTTGAAAGAGAAGTTTTCTCCAGAACCTCCCCTTAGACACTTTAGGATGGAGCCCTCTCCACCTCCCCTTGTCCCAGATCTCCATGTGACTCACTTCAATCAGACCACTGCTCAAGCATCATCTGCTTGGGATGCCATCCTCCAGCAAGCATCTCATCTGAAAAGGCACCTTCCATCTCTTCCACCTCCTGTCTCTTTACCGTTGTCTTTCCGCATAGCGCTTCTCACTCCCTGCCCTTCTATTGCCTCCTTGTCCATTTCCCTGTTGTTCTTCAGATGCCCCTGTCTGTAACACTTTGCTGGAAGGATTGGGGCTTGCTTCTTGTCTTTCCCTAGTTCCCTGAATAGCATTTGGCAGACTTTTATGAATGAAAGAGTAAAATGATAAATAAATAAGCACATGAATAAGGAATGAAATATTTTTAAAAAACAAGAGATTGAGAACGGGAAGGTTCCTTCACCCACAGTTGTGGACCATCTCATTCTCATATGAGAGTCACAATCACACATGTAAGCTATGACCTGCCGGTGTCAGATGACACTGAACATGATTGTCGGATGAATTCTGATTGGTCCTTGTTCTGCTGAATGCCCTTTGGTGGGAGCAAATGTCCTCTTGAGGTTCTGTCCAATTGCATCACAGGAGACACTGCTGTCCTTGTGTTTCCAGAACAGCATTGCTTTTGGTAATAACAAACCAACACTGGCTACAACATCAAGCATTATTGATGGGAGTCACAATTAAGGCATAGACAGCTGAAAAGACTGAAGCACAATCCCTCTCATAGGTGGATGTGGCAATATGAAAAAATTAGTTGTGCCTGAGTGATTTAGATGTCTTAATTTAGCCTGGGAAACACGGCAAAACCCTAACTGTACAAGAAAAAATACAACAATTAGACAGGCGTGGTGGCATGCACCTGTAGTCCTAGCTACTCAGCAGACTGAGGTGGGATGATCCATTGAGCCCAGTAGGTGAAGGTTGCAGTGAGCCACTATTGCATCACTGCAACTCAGCCTGGATGACAGTGAGACCCTGTCTCAAAAAATAAAATTAAATAAATGAATAAATAAATGCCTTAATTTACTGTATTTCCATAAGCATAAAACTTAGAACTTGGGCTTGACTTGAGCAAGCAAGGAGGCAAAGCCTAGAGGTAGAATATAGAAAAAAAAAAGGAAAGAAAGAAAGGAGAGAGAGAGAGAAAGGAAGGAAGGAAGGAAGGAAAGAAAGAAAAAAGACTGCTCTCCTTCCGAGGAGTGCCCAATGACACTCCTGTGCTTACACTTTTTTTTTTTTTACTCTTCAACTAAAACATGTATTTTAAAACTATATATGGAATCTGAAAGTAAACTGAAAACATTTTTAAAATAAGACAGTCATGTCTAAATATTGTGATAATTTTTCTTCCCGATAGGATCTATACTATCTGTGTGACCCTTATTGAAGGAAACAAGTTATCACAACATTTGTATATAGGAATCTGAGTTTCATTTAAGTATAGCCTTTATTTCTGTGAAACATAAATTGAGTAGTATCAGGAAAGGCTGAGATCAATAAATCCAAACCCCAACAGAAAGAAAGTGATGGGTAAAGAGGAGAGAGAACGATGGGAAGGAGAAAGAATGTGCCAAAAATTTATCTACTAGGATAAAGAGAACAAAATCAACAGCTGAAGACTGGAGTTCATTCCAAAACTGAATTTGGCCCAAGGAAATAACCATTTGGTGAACTTCTGGACAAGAAGCTGCGGCAAGAATGCAACCAGTCCATTTCAGTAATTAAGGATGAGATATTTATCCCTGAAATGTGACATACAGGTAGCCAGCAGGAAAATGAACCTGGTTTAATTAGAGAAGGAGAAAAATGACTAATTAGTCCGGAGAGTCATCAAGGCAGAACCAAAAAACTGGACTGATGTGTTAGGTTAAGCCTAGCTGTATTCTAAAATAATGCACTGTAACTTTAATTTTCCTACTATCTAGAAAGGAGAAAACTCTGCATTTTCTTAAATGGTATTGCATTTAAATGACTGGTGGGCATATATGCTGATAATCCAATCTAGAGAATTATTGAACAGCACAAGGAAAATAGGGTGAAGACCTAAGATCATATCCAGAGAATGGGGGCCCTTCCTTCATCCTGCGGCTGACCTGACACACACTAAGTTGCTTTTGGTCATAAATGAAAGACAGTCCTTGTAAGCAAATGGCAATATATTGGCTCTTGGGTTCCCACATAGGGTAGACCCACCGCACGGTGGCCAGGGCAGACATGCAGTGAGCCTCAGCATCACCTGCCACGTGGGACGCAGACTCCTCCAGGATTCTGGTCATTTCTTCTGCCTGCTTCTTCTCTACTCATCACCCAGCAGCTGCTCCAGAGATTCTACTGCTGATTGATCTTGAGTTTCACAACCTGGAGTTTCCACCACAGAGACTGTATCTCTTCTTCAATTGCAGCTGGGAAAACTCGTGGGGGAGAACTTGAATTTAACCTTGCTTGGGTCACTCAACAAAGGTTGAGAAAGCGGGATTGCCTAAGACCATGGCAGCTCCAATTGAAACCACATGTTTACAGTGTGTGTATGTTGGAGAAGGAAAAAGATGAGAACAGAAGAAAAGCCGGTAATTCATTGTAGGATAATTTCAAAAATAAAGAGTGCTGCTCCTAGAAAAAGAGGGTGCCTAGGCAGACTAAACATTTTAACATGTATCACTCAGGCATTAGATGCTGGAAGGAAAAATGTTTTGATCTTCTAGAAACATTCCAGTTAAAAATGGATTTTTATGATCAGCATCTCTTGTTGGGTCGTTTGGTCCAGAAACTGACATCCCCAGCTGCCTGTGACAACGCACAGAGCCCCAGATCAACAGTCCATCACCTGGAGAGGTGTCTGGACTCTAAATCCCTGGGACCAGTGATGCCTGTGGATTTTACTGATTCCCAGTAGCTGAGTTTACTTTGTGCTTTCAGCTGAGCAATATGTTCTGGTTATTCTACTTCTTCTAGTTCATTCTTCAGGGTCAGAGAAATTCACAGTCGGTCTACAACAACAGTACAGGAACCTTTCGTTAGAAAATCCAAGAGTCACTGAAGACATCAACTCAAAAGTGCTATTTCTTTTATTACCCATTATGAATCAGTCACCCACTGACTTATCTTTTACAGCTTTCTATGTTTTCAATTGATATCAATTCTTAGAATAAAATGCAGCACCTGCATCTAAAATATAATTTATTTTTCTTGAGACACGTCTTTCAAGCAGAAGAAAGGTAATGGGCACACAAACAGATACTTGATCATCTTCTTATAAAACAAGGAAGCATCCACATTTCAATACTGCAGCACATGAAATAATTTCTCAATTCCTACTCTGTCACAGCGTAAATGATTTACTGATTAAAATGTGAGTAACAATAATTCTGGAGCTGAATGAAGTTCTCAGACCAAAAGGTAACATTAAGCAATGTTTTCTTTAAATTTAATGTCATGTAGGGTCACTAAAAACAAAATGTAAGGGATAAATGTAAGTGCATAAAACAGAGATAAGACCAATTTCCACAAATACAACTCTTATTATCCAAAATCATCTCGGAAGGAAATTTTCTAATATACCCATTTTCTAGATAACAAGATTAACCATTTGACGGGAATATTTCCAATTGTGTCACCTCCTTCCTTGACTTTTTCCTCACCAATTTAGGGCCTGGGTTCTATGCACTGTGGCTCTTTGGGATAGTTAAATGGGTGCAATGGCTGAGATTGCCCCCACCTTAAATGGCCCAGGCTACAGGGCTTGCCAAATGGCTTTGGTTTGCAACCTCTTCCTTTGATATCCATTGAAGAATACATATCCTACCCTATTGATTGCACAGTTCTATCTGCTATTGCCTATTGGGAGCATAACCAGGGAAGTTCTAAGGTCCTTCCAGTTCCAAAAGCCATTGATCAACCCTGTGAGGCACTATGAGAGACTGGCAATTACTGAGGAATCTCTTCCAAAAATACATGATTAAGGTAATTGTGATTCTATGAAGAATGAATAAAAATTGAAAACAAAACCAATCTTGTTTAAATTATTAAATGAAGTTTTAAAAAAATAATGGAGTGGGTAGATGTATTGCCTATCAAATTAAAATTCAGGGAATATGTGTCAGTTATCAGCTTGATAAGTATGATCTGTAGGGTTGAATTAACTAAAGGTCTAACCCTAAACTAAGTGAGATATTACTGGGTTACTAAATACAGAGGAATGGCTTCCTTTTTCCTTTAAAGATGGAAGAATCCCAGAAGTATGCCTAAATCAGAAGCAGAAGACTCATGTTCTAATGACACGTCTGATCATCACCCTGAGTTCCATAGAGCATACTGTAGTAGAAAGTACATCAGCATGTGAGTGGAGAGATTTAGAGTATAGATCTCTATGTATTTCTGGCTCTGTCACCAACTGGTAACATGACTTTGGGCAGAAACTGTCTTACTGATTCTATTCCCTTACTTATAATATAAAGGAGCATAACTAGACACATTCTAAAGTCCTTCTAGCTCCAAAAGGCATGATTAACCTTGTGAGGCACTGTGAAAAGTTGGAGATTATGAAGATGAATCTCTTCCAATAATATATAAAGGTGATTGAGATTCTATGAGGAATTAAATGAAGACCATAAGTGACAATCAAAACAGAAACTGTAACAGAACCTGCAAATCAACTTGTAAATAATCTGCTCTAGGTTATAAAATCTGAAAAGTACTATGATGATTATTCTTGTCATAACTGATGCCACTAATATAATTTTTAAAACCTGAGAGCCTAAGTCAGAGTACTTACCTCTTTCAAATTATGCTCTGTGTGTGTGTGTGTGTCTGTGTATTCCTGAGTCAACATGAATACCTTTAAAAAATTCTAGAACTTTGGGCCAGGCGCAGTGGCTCATGCCTGTAATGCCAGCACTTTGGGAGGCCGAGGCAGGCAGATCACGAGGCCAACAGATCAAGACCATCCTGGCCAACATGATGAAACCCCATCTCTACTAAAAATAAAAAAATTAGCTGGGCGTGGTGGCATGCGCCTGTAGCCCCAGCAACTCAGAAGGCTGAGGCAGGAGAATCGCTTGAACCTGCGAGGCGGAGGCTGCAGTGAGCCGAGATGTCACCACTACATTCCAGCATAGGCGACAGAGCGAGACTCCGTCTCAAACAAACAAACAAAAATTCTAGAACTTTGATTAAATTATATTTTGGGGGTCTATCAATTGAAGTGGAATTGGACTGTGGATTCCTCTGTTGAGAAATCTGTTAGATGTTTATTTGGGTACTGACACACTTAACTCTACTTTTGAGACCACAGCCAACTGTAACATCTATGATGGTGATGAAAATACAAAATTCTGGCCGGGCGTGGTGGCTCACGACTGTAATCTCAGCACTTTGGGAGGCTGAGGCGGGTGGATCACTTGAGGTCAGGAGTTTGAGACCTGTCTGGCCAACATGGCGAAACCCTGTTTCTACCAAAAATACAAAAAAATTAGCCAGGTGTGGTGGCAGGCGCCTGTAATCCCAGCTACTTGGGAGGCGGAGGCAGAAGAATCACTTGAACCTGGGAGTTGGAGGTTGCAGTAAGCCGAGATCACACCACTGCACTCCTTCAGCCTGGGCGACAGAGTGAGACTCGGTCCCAAAAAAAAGAAAAGAAAAGAAAATATAAAACTCAAAACTCTTTCTTTGTTAGACTTGATGTCAAGTTCAGTGGGATCAAGGAAAAATTAGGTCTAGGGGATTCAAGCATATTGAACTCATGATCTATAAATTGTAAATGCCAAGGATCTCTTAAAATAAAGACCTTTCTCATGATAAAGGCATGACCCAATAATATAGTTAGGGTTCATCTGCATTTCTCCTCTTCAACTTGATCCAGATGCCATTAGTTGGACGAAGAATCAACTGTCCTTCTAGACCAAGTTCTTCTCTTTTCTGGTTGGATTCTATCCAAAAGTGCCTCAGGATGCACGAAAGAATGGTCTTTTCTTCCATCACAGCAAACTTTTGACCTTCAAATCAATGTAGATACCATCGCTTTAGATATGGATTTACCCCAAATGTGAGAAACAAGAGGTCCTATCACAGGAAGCAAGCCATTTTACATTTTCAGAGTAGGCGGAAGGAGAATCAGAATGGCTTGGGACACTTGTTAAAAATGAAGAGTCTTGAGTTTCCCTCCCTGCTCCCACTTTGCATATCTATAGCTGGGGAGGACCAGGGAATTTGTACTCCAGCTGATCCAGATAAATCCTGAGCTCATTCAAGCTTAAGACTCACTACTCTAGATTATGTCTTAGTGGGTGTTTAATTTACTATAGATTCACCAAATAAGCTTCAGATTCACCCATTTCATTCTGTCCTCATTTTACCAAGGTCTGCATTTACATAAATGACAAAATACTAGAGATACTGAAACCAAAAGGGTTTACAATGCAGGGCAGTGATGTGCATTCATTTTGCTTAAGTACTTCAGTTGGCCATGTGGCAAGCATTTTCTGTTTTGATTTGCAAAATGAAATTCTTAAAAGCAATAAACACAAAAATTAGGTTAACCATAAGTAATCATAAATAAAGTTTTTACCACAAGAAGATATTCTACTGTAATTAAAAATCTACAACATTTTGAAACTCTACCATGAAACTAATTATGTCTTATGCTATGGGTAATTGTGTCTCTCTCCAAATTCTAAGCCCCCTGTACCTTAGAGTATGACTGTATTTGGGGACAGGTCATTGAAAGAGGTCAGTAAGCATAAGTGAGGTAATTGGGGTAGGCCCTAGAGTAGTCTGACTGGAGAGAAGATCAGGACACAGACCTACACAGAGGAAAGACCACGTGAAGACATGAGGTGAAGACGGCATCTACAAGCCACAGAGAGGCATCAGGAGAAACCAGCCCTGCCAACACCTTGATCTTGAACTTCCAGCCTCCAGAACTGTGAGAAGATAAATTTCTGCTGTTTAAGCCACCGAGTCTGTGGTATTTTGCTATGGAAGCTCACGCAGGCTAATACACTAATATACCTTTTGACCATAATATTTTAAAACTACAAAGCACAGTAAGTGAGGGAAAAAAGAAACCAGCTATATTTTTAAGGCCGTTGCATATGGGCAATGTCATATCACATCTCAAAGAAATAACTGTGAGAAATAACTCAAAGAAGACCTTTCAAGTGGGCCTGAAAGGTCAAACCAACTGAGATGGATACAAACCTATACAGTTCCTGGGGCCAGCAGAGAAGGGCACATAGGCATATGGATGGCGCCCTTGTGCATTCTCGGGGAAGAACCGCTCAGGCTGGAACTCCTCGGGGTTGGGGAAGTATCTTGGATCTCTGTGCAATGCATAGGGAATGATGACGGCTTCAGTGCCTTTCAGAACTCTGTAACCTGCTGTCAAGAAGTAGTCAATACATCATGGGACCACAGCAAGACAGACATTAGAAAGTTTCCCTCTCCCTTCTACTTTAGGTACAGCATACTTACCCACTTCACAATCTTCACTAACACTGCGGGCAAATAAAGGAACAGAAGGAAAAAGGCGAAGGGTCTCCTTAATAACACATTCCAGATACCGAAGTTTCTTCAGGTCTTCTACGGTAGCGGGACGGTCAGACCTCCCTGATGAAAGCAAGGAGCTAAGATGACCTGAAAGAGCGGTGGGGGCCAGGGGTGCACATATCGAAAAAGAACACATGGATCAAGGCAGGGGATGCTAAACACCCATCAAATACCCATCAAAGAAGAACATGTGGGTCAAGGTACTGGATGCTAAATACCCATCAAATACCCATCAAAGAAGAACACGTGGATCAGGGTACTGGATGCTAAATACCCATTAAATACCCATCAAAGAAGAACATGTGGATCAAGCCAGGGGATGCTAAATACCCATCAAATACCCATCAAAGAAGAACATGTGGATCAGGGTACTGGATGCTAAACACCCTCAAATACCCATCAAAGAAGAACACATGGATCATGGTACTGGATGCTAAATACCCATCAAATATCCATCAAAGAAGAACACGTGGATCAGGGTACTGGATGCTAAATACCCATCAAATACCCATCAAAGAAGAACACATGGATCATGGTACTGGATGCTAAATACCCATCAAATATCCATCAAAGAAGAACACGTGGATCAGGGTACTGGATGCTAAATACCCATCAAATACCCATCAAAGAAGAACACGTGGATCAAGGTACTGGATGCTAAATACCCATCAAATACCCATCAAAGAAGAACACGTGGATCAGGGTACTGGATGCTAAATACCCATCAAATACCCATCAAAGAAGAACATCCAGATGCCAAATACCCACAGCTAAAGCAGAATTTCTAACACTATGCATAATCAAAATAAAATGAGGCAATATGCCAAGTAAAATGAATAGACACTAAAGGTCACATATTGTACGAATCCATGTATAAGTAGTACTCAGAATAGGTAAATCCACAGAGACAGAAAGTAAATCAGAGGCTGCCAGGGCTGGGGGAAGGAGGAATCAAGAGGGACTGCTTAATCGCACCAGGTTTAGGTTTCCTTTCGAGGTGCTGAAAATGTTCTGGAATTAGGTAGATGTAACTGTTGTACAACATGGTGAAGGTACTAAATGCCACTGAAATGTACATTTTTAAATGGCAGATTTTACATTATGTGACATTTACCTCAGTAAAAAAATAACATAAGGAATTAATACTTGCAACTCACTACACAAAGATTAGTTGCTCAAAAAAATTTTTCTTTTTTTTTTTTTTTTTGAGATGGAGTCTCGCTCTGTCGCCCAGACTGGAGTGCAGTGGCGCAATCTCGGCTCACAGCAAGCTCCACCTCCCGGGTTCACGCCATTCTCCTGCCTCAGCCTCCCGAGTAGCCTAGACTTCAGGTGCCCGCCACCACGCCTGGCTAGTTTTTCGTATTTTTAGTAGAGACGGGGTTTCACCGTGTTAGCCAGGATGGTCTCGATCTGCTGACCTTGTGATCCACCCGCCTCAGCCTCCTGAAGCGCTGGGATTACAGGTGTGAGCCACCATGCCCAGCCTAGTTACTCAAAAATTGTAGAACTAGGATTGGGGGTTGAAGAAAAAGTGAGGCACAATAAGCAGAAAACACGAGAAGCACGGAGCAAAGATTCTAGTAATGATGACTGTGTCACCGATTCTGCAGGACCAAAAACCTTTGTGAAACTGGCAATGAACTAAACATTGTAGAGGATACAGAAGATTGGAGCCTATTCCAAAAGAACTTGTGAGCTTTTAGAAGACTAAATTTACCCACTCAAGGCAATCTAAGCAAAACTAAAATCAGTGTAAAAAAAATAAAATGATGACAAAAATGTTGCCAAAAGGTTTAGAAGGTGTCCATTCTGCAAAATAAAAGCTTGCCTCTTAATATGAAATTTCAGTCCCGGCACAATCTGCACACAAACTGCTTTTCCATCCTCATCTCCCAGGGAATGAGAGATGAGTTCTCGTGGTCTCTCACTCTCCACTATCGCCCTCCAGACCAGAACCCTTTCCATTTCTGTGCTGTTGCTCATCTGCTTCCTCTCTTTCTAGAACGCCTTCTCTCGCCACCTGTAGTTTTCCTTCCCCTCTTCTCGCTATAAAACTGATACCACTGGCTGCTCGGCTAACTCAACTTTATTCCTTTTCGCCTTGCAGCTATTGGGGGCCATGTGACACGTGATTTTCAAAAAGGATAAAATTGATGGAAGCCCCTTTGTGGCAGGCTGATAATGGGCCCCAAAATATCAGGTCTTAATCCCTGCAATCTGTAAAGGTTACCCTATTTGGAAGAAGAGAATTCTTGGCAGATTTGATTAAATTAAAGATCTTATAGTGGGGCAATGATCCAGGTGGGCCCTGAACGCCATCACAAGTATGTCACAAGTATGTTTGTGAGAGAAAGACACACAAGCACACACACATGCACACACACACCACACACGCATACACGTGTGTGCACACACACGCAGAGAAAAGAGAAGGCAATGCAGAGACTGGCAGAGATGCCAGCGATGCAGCTGTCAGCCAAGAAACGCTGGCAGCCACCGGAAGCTGAAGAGGTGAGGAGGAGCTCAGCGCTGCCCACACGGTCATGTGGGCTCAGTGACACTGATCTTTGACTCAGGTGTCCAGAACTGTGAGGGAACAGACGTCGCTGCTGTGAACCTCCCCGTCTGTGGATTTGTCACAGCAGCCACAGGACACCAAGACACCCGGCACCCCCACCCCGTCTTCCTGCCTTGAAGATGAATGTGATGCTCGGAACACCAATCAAGAGAACAAAAGCCAAGACGGTAAGGGGCAGGGAGCAAAACGGCAAGGTTGGGACCCTGCACATCCTACTGGCAGGACTTTTCCTCCGGTTGCTTGCTGTATAATAGAAATGTATCTCCTGGTAGCTTAATCCATCTTTTCTCTCCTTTGTGGTGAGATGCAATCTGTGAAACAGCTTTCCTGTACCCTTCTGAATAGTTTCACCAGCTCCTCCTTTCTCCCAAAAAGCACCTTCATTCAAATGCACAGCCCATGACTCAAAGCTTCACGTAGGTGTCTGTTTTGCCTGGGAAGCAGTGAGACCCTTGAGGACGGCAGCACGCATCTGTGCACCCCAGCATCTGGCCCAGTACGGTCACTGACCAGGCGACTGGCAGAGGCCTGTGGGTGAATGGACGAGGCGGGGGAGCCTCCCTGCTCATTACGCTGTGTTTACAACACAGTGACATCTCTGCAGGGGACTTAGTACCACAATATAACCAGGGAAGGGGCCAGACATACCAAACACGTCATCCAGTTCATGGTCCACTTTTTTCTGGACTTCTGGGTTAGACCCCAACAGGTATAAGGACCAGTTCATTGCAGCTGCAGTTGTGTCGTGGCCCTACAAATGGAGAAAACAGTAGCTTAAAAAGCAGAGTTACACTGCGATGATCGGGAGTGACCAGAAACCTCTTTTGAATTGTCTTCAGATTTGATGGCTGCACTGTGACTGCAGAACATAAGAAATGAATTCCGTGCAGCACCTTACCTGGTGATAAACAAGGAAACAGTCCCTGAAAAGCGGAGGTTCATGCCTAGAGATGACAGTTCTGCGCCGCACAGTGGTGCGCACTGGTGGGACGTGCCTGTGCTGTGCTAACAAAGGGGGCGTTGCACGGGCGCTAGGCGAGCTGGGCCTTTGTGAATAGAACGAAGTTTGATTTTCATGAGCCTGCTTGTCAGGTCTGTACTTCTCTGCCTTCCCCCATCTGTCAGGTGGGCCCTACCTGTTGATGGCGGGCACCAGGGGGGTAGAGGTGTGGTTCTAAGTCATATCCTCTGCATTAAAAATTGACAACAATCTCATTTCATACTTGCTGAGTTTTAGGCAAAATACTAAGTACTTTGCAGAAACTGAATTAATCTGCACAAAAACTCCATGAAAGACTCATTACTGTGATTTACAATTCAGAGATTAAAAACTGAGGCCAAACATGTGGTTAAATAACTTCTCCTGTGCTAAACAGCTTAGTGGGATGCAGAGGCAGAAACTGAGCCTGCGGTGTGTCTGACGACAAAGCCAGCTCAGTCCATGCCATTCCTTCCACACCCTGCGCAGTAAGGATGCTCCACCTCCACCTCTTACACTAGTGGAATGTCTTGGGCAACCTTCTTACCCACCCATTTGATATTTCAGGCCCTGGCCTCTTATCTACCTCCTCATCTCCCTAGCACATTTCCATATGCAAAAGTGGTGAGTTCTTCAGAAAAAAAAAATGTACCTGGAAAATCAATAACAGTAATCTACCTCTCTGAGTGAAACTTTGAGGAAAAAAAGAGAAAACAAATTACTGCCTCTATAAAAGATCTCACTTTTCCATTTTCCCTATATGGCACAAGTGATTTTTGTAATATTTCATTCTCTGTACAGAAATCTCCAAAGTATTTGTTTTAGAAAACAGCTCCTACATTGAATTGCTTGGGGCTTATTTTGCAATTTTTAAAATACACAGCCTACAGGTCCCCGAGGTCAGCGCCTCTGCATTTCCCTAGCACTTGCAGCTACAAAAACTACTCGGAACTCCAGATGAGCTCTGGCCCGTTGTGCTCAGTTGTCTCCTAAGTACGAAAGGAAGTATTCTGGCTAAATAATTTTAATAGCTTTCCATGAATTTATGAGCGGGAGCCTGATCCAAATGCATAAGAGGAATCTGCTGAACTTCCTATTTCATTTCGTCTGCCATCTGCAGAAAGCATGATAAGGCAAACGTAAAGCACCGAGGCACACTGGTGGAGCAGGGGAGGACGCCCACTTTTAGCACACAGCTTGAACCTGGGCAGTTATAGCCTGCACCAGCCCGTGGAGGAGGCCACAGTATCACACTCACACCGGCTATGCCTCCCTTTCAATGCAAAGAAGAAAAGAATTAGAATGTTAGGGAATGTTAGAGTTGGAAGAGAAATCGTTAGTCTGGTTCTGGTTGTTTTCGTGAGATTGAGAGGTTCCTGGTAGGAGATGGATGTGTGTGTGCACATGTGTGTACATGTGTGTATGGGGGTGTGTGCATATATGCATGTGGGTACGTGGCTCTGTACATGTGCTTGTGTGTGCATTTGTGTTTATGTATACACGAGTATACATGGCTTTGTGCATCTGACTGTGTGCATGTGTATATATATGTGCATCTATGTATGTGTATGTGTCTGTGTGTATGTGTGTATGTAGGTGTGTACGTGTGTTTTTGTATGTGTGATTATTTACATAAAAGTACATGAATGTGTGCACGTGTGGGGTGGTGTGTGCATGTATGTGTATGCATGCATGTGTGCATGTGGGTAGATATGTGTGTGCATGCATGTGTATGTGCATGAGTATCTGGGTGTGTGTGTATATTTGTGTGTGTTTGTATACACGTGTGTGTGCATGCATGTGTATGTGCATGAGTATCTGGGTGTATGTGTATATTTGTGTGTGTTTGCATACACGTGTGTGTGCATGTGGATATACACGTTTGTGTATGTGTGTGCATGTATGTGTGTATGTGCATGAGTGTATGTAGGTGTGTGCATGCATTTGAGTGTGTATATGTGAATGTGTGTTTGTGGGTATATACATGTGTCTGTGCACGTGTGTGTATGTGCGTGAGCATGTGTGTGTGTGTAGACGTGTGCATGTGTGTGCATGGGTGTACATGAGTGTATGCATGTGTGTGTGTGCGTGTGTACATGGGCAAGGTGAAGATGTGAGAAGGTCTCTCCACTTCAACATCAAACAACACCTGGTATGTGCTGCATACTTCTTATGGGCCAATCACGATTCTCAGGGCACCTTTACAAATCTAATCATCATAACTATTCCATGAGGCTTGTGCTGTTAAAATAAGAATATTCAGGCCCAGAACGGCTGGGTGAGGTGCTTGAGGTCATGGTTCCAGCATGTTAGCTGGGATGTGGTCTTAGAGCCCACACGCTTAACACCTGTCTACTTTTCAGCTAATTTACATGTCCATTTTCTGCTTCAGATTTATTTTCAGTAAAGTTTTCTGCTTTAAAAAGTTTAAAACTGCCAGTGTAGCCCATCTCTCTCTTTACACATAGGAAAATTGTGAAAGCGCTCTGGAATGATCAGAGCTATCTTATTTGGCTCATCAGCACAGAGCCTGAACTGGAACTCGGATCTAAAGACCCTTCACACAGATTTTTCTACCGTGTCGTGGAGCCTCACACCAGAGTGCACACGCTTGGCACTGCTGCCAGAGGCTGCCGCAGAGCAGCTAACACGTGGGTGGCAGGCAGAGCCATTAAAAACTCAGGTGCCTGGCCGGGCGCGGTGGCTCACGCTTGTAATCCCAGCACTTTGGGAGGCTGAGATGGGCGGATCACGAGGTCAGGAGATCGAGACCATCCTGGCTAACACGGTGAAACCCCGTCTCTACTAAAAATACAAGAAAATTAGCCGGGCGTGGTGGCGGCGCCTGTGGTCCCAGCTACTCGGGAGGCTGAGGCAGGAGAATGGCGTGAACCCGGGAGGTGGAGCTTGCAGTGAGCTGAGATCGGGCCACTGTACTCCAGCCTGGGTGACAGAGCCGAGACTCTGTCTCAAAAAAAAAAAACCAACTCAGGTGCCTTTCACTCTGCTCCATGTGGAGGATATTACTACATGGCTTCTAAACACCATGCTTTATCTATTTTGCAATCCACATAAAGAGAAAGTCTCTCTTTGTAGTATTTAATGTTTAAGCTATCTTTGTAAAAAGCACTTCATATATATATGTATGAATTTGAGATCAGAGGTCTCTTCAGAATCATGAACTGGCCGATTCTCTGTGGGAGGGCTCTCCCTGTCCTCTTTAGGGAGAGCAGCTCATGGCAGTAGCGAAGCGCTCATCTGCTGGAACCTCAGAAAGGAGGTGGTGGGGAAGGGGACTTGTGGGTCTCGGGGGTTGGCAAGAAATCTGAAGCCAGGTGGAGAACTGAGAGCAACAATCTCTGGCTGCTCTTCCGCTTGGGAAAACTCTGACAAGTCTTAGCTTTTCTTGAGGAGAAACAAATGCGTCTACTGCTGTGCCCAGCACTAGTCAAAATCGTTGTCTGAAGAAGGAAGTTGAGTTAATCAGTTTCTTAAATTTTGTAATTTCTAATTAAAATATAATGAATCTTCCTCAGTTACAGTAAACGACTTTAAAATTTGATTAAGTTTTTAAAAATGATGCTAAAGATTCTAACAATAACTGAAATGTGTTTAATGATATCTGAACATAACAATATGCAATACCTCAAACATGAAGGTGTCAACTTCTTCTCGAATATCTTCGTGACTTAGCCTGTTCCCTTCGTCGTCAGTCACACTTAAAAGCAAGTCAAGAAAGGCCCTGCGTTTATTTTTGGAGGGGGCGGAGTCCCTGCCATCCCCTCTACAGTCTTCATCCACGTTCATTTCATTGGCCCGTTCAGCGATAACCTGTAAGATTTGAATGATAATCACATGCTTCTGTTTGAACTTGGATGCACACTGGTAACATGTTTTCTTATAAAATATGCTAGTTTCTTTCATTTATTTTTTCCAAGCCTTTCTATTTCAACATTTCGACAACATAGGCTCTTGTGAAAACACAGTAAAGCCTCATTAATATTTTGGGGATTATTTGGTGAAACTTTTAAAAACAAATGTAATGTCACGCAAATTCCTAATTTTCAAGTGCTATTTTTGCCGTCTTTTCAACACAAGAATAGAATCATAGTCTACTAGATAGTACCCTAGAGATTTGATCGTGCTAATGAGAAAAAGTTTAAGTGGTGGAGTGAATGCAGTCATTATACAATACTCTCATTATAGACTTAATTACATGTTGTAGGGGAGAAAAGAAACAGCAAGTAGATTAGTGAATTCACCCTCTATGCTTGCAATTCCTGCTGCCTGAAATGCTTTCCTCAGAGGCCTCCATGGCTGCCCCTTCCCTTCTTCCAGATCTCTGCTCACTGTCACACGATCAGAGAGACCTCCCTCATCCTTGCCACCCCATCCCTAGCATTACGACGCTTCCTAACACTGCTTTATTTTTCTCCATTTCCCTTGCCACCTGACATTATGTGATACTTCTAATATGCTTATTACTATATGTGATATTATACTTATGCTATACTTATTACTCAGCCTCTTTCTCTTCCAACTCAAACTCTGCCATGCTTGTGCATGTCTTTGTTCATTGATATATAGAGTATGGCTTGGCATTTAAAAAATACTCACTAGATATTTCTTGAATGGATAAAAGAATGAAGGCCCATACACTTAATTTGGTTGTACATTTCAGCCTTCTTTTCCTACCAGGTAATTGACCAAACCTGCTACTAAGTGGCCTAAATAGATTCTAAGCTCTTTGAGGGCAAAACACCATGTCTTCTTTTATTCTTGGTGGAATTCTTACAGCCCAGGCCTCAGTAGGCAATTCTCAATGTTTATTAAATGAATAATATTGTCCATTCAGTCAGGAATTCATTTAATTATTGCTATTAAATATTAATGCACAAAATTTAAGGAAAAATTTAACTATGAAATATAACCTGCTGGCTATTCTCCTATAACCAGGTGATCACACTCCACTGTGGCCAGCTCAGCCAACACTGCATTCACGGAGCGTCTACTGATTTATTTATCATTTGCTCTCTTGCGGTAGGGTATATACTTCACCACAAGGACGTAATTCCAATAGATTTTAACCAAAATTTACAGCAAAGAAAGGACATATTTATATAGGCTGTTTTTTCAATACACTGAAATTATAATTTGATGTATATTTTCAATTAAATCTTGCTTTTTCAAAACACATTATTAACATGAAGATTGCCATGCTATATTCAAAACAACATCACTATCTTCTGGTTATTTTTGAATTGGAAATAAAATACTAATATCTAGTTAATTTTAATGTTTTCCACGTTAAGATACTGCTATCAATGCCCCCTGCCTTTGAAAATGACTGCCGAATCCAAACATTTTCCAGAAAACTCCTATACACAGATATTTGTTTCTTTATTCTTTTACACAGCACCCTGTTTGTTAATAAGTGTTCATAGCTCATATCACATGTTGTAATTATGTGTTGATAGATGACCTCTCTTACTAGAATAACTTCCTTTCAGGTAGGGATCATATACACATGTCCTACTCATTACTAAAAATCCAACATTTGGTATGGTGTTTGGCACTTAGCGAGCACTTAATTAATATTTGTCGAATACATAATTTAAGTATAAATATGCTAAATAATTTTTTCTATTATTATTCAACTTTTATTTTCTGAGATATAGGCTCAATAGTCCTACACTGCGTGTGTTAACAAAACACCGACATCATGGACTTACCAAAAGTTCTGGAAATGGATGGTGGGGATGGTTGCACAACATGGTGAATGCACTTAATACCACCAAACTGTACAGTTAAAATGGTTGTAAGGGAAAATTTTATGTTTTGTCTATTTTACCACAATTTTAAAAGTCAGGGACTTACATTGTTGGTAAAAGTATGTAGGACCTTAAGGCTCTTTTTGTGTTCCCATCCCTCTTTAAACATAAGGTACCAGAGGTCAAGCCAAAGCCACGGCATCTTTATTCTTCGAAATATCATCTCACTCATTCTATAGATGGGAAAAAAAATACATCAGCTGTTGTATCAGAAAGGTGTATTTCTTGAGCACTTCTTTGGTACCTAGCCTTGATGAAGGCAATCGTGGAAATGACGATGACTGTCTTAGAGGCTACTAAGAGCTCCATGTTTTATGCTCAACAGTGAAGGTACGGGCTATTATGCATCCCATGAAGCCTCAGAAAATAATGGGTTCTTCAAAGGAATGAAGAATCCATTATAAAACATTCTTACTAGATAGCCATCTGGCCTCTGCTTCTGTTTCTCCAGGGCGAGTTTTCCACTCTGCCTAGGGCCTCTGTACCAGGGGCTGAGATGAAATCGGCCTCCTTTTAAGGTCCATCATTGGTTTGACCGCTCCTCTGGAGGGAGAGAAGACAACTGGCTGCCCTCTTCTACCAGCGAGGGTTCTCGAAGTACCCAGCTGTCACTTGGCTGTTCTGGCCCCTCCCTTTCATGTCCAGCCATAGAGCAGAAGACCGCCAAGTAAGCTCCTGCAGGACCAGCTGAGACGCCGGTTCTTCAGAAAGACCTTTGCTGGCCTCTCACTCTGTAGGATACTTTCTTGTTTTCCTCTCCGATATCAATTTGATCTTCTCTTCCTGAGCAATTATTACAATTCATGAATCTCTTTGTCCGATGCCTGACTCCTGTGTTATTCTGTTTTGTGTACTACTACAAAACCAGTCAGTACCCTGTGCAGTGATTGGAAGATCGCAGATGCTTCATAAGTGTTGGTTAAAATGAAGTGAAATGAGCAAGAGACTTAAATGTACTCAGCTCAATGCACTTCTCTGTACTTCCTCAAGTCCTTGCCCTGCCTCTTAACAGGTGAATAATTGCAAGCAATTTTAGAGTAAAACTGACTGTTTCGATGACTAAAACAATACCTACTGGGTGCAGAAAATATGAGAAAGAAGAATAACAACAAAAGGAAAGCACAAGAATGAGAAACACATACACGAGACAATGAGAACCACGGCTAACATTTGGTTATAGTATCTGCTAGTTTTCTTTGAATAATTTTTAAATATAACAATTATCATAGAGCAGAAAACTGTTTATATCTTTCTTTTCTCAGCATCACAATGTAAGCATCATCATGTACAATATAATGTAATCTCAATGTTAGAGAATAATCATTTTAAATTACTGCATAATCTAGATGTGCCATAATTTATATAACCTTTACTCTACTGCTTAACACATGCTTACATGATGAGGTTAACTTCTAGTTTAATGGTTAATTTTGAAACCATAAAAAGATACAACACAGAAATTGTTAGCGATCATTTTTAAAGTCCAAATCAATAATTTTTGAAATAACTGAAAGGACTCCATTTACCTGTAAACTGCACGGACATACTCGGAATCATCATTACTTTGAGCACCAATATTCTTCCCCATAGCTGTTTCTATAAAATATGAGTGAGAAGCAACCATTCAATTTATGCACGTTAGTTATCTTGTGTTTATTTTGCAGTGGCAGACACTAAAGACGTACATCCTGCTTTGTCCTTGTATTTTTCAGAATTCTCCTTCCTCCCTTTACCCCCTTCTCTTGTACCGGCCACTTCTACTCCCTGTTCCTGTTCTTCCTTCCCTTTGCTCCCTGGGCAGTTGCTCCGTGCCTGCCCCGCTCACAGCCCTGGGCATGGCTGCTGCTCCTCAGAAGGCTAACATGGCAGGAGAACCGCTCTGAAGGGCCCACCACCCTTTCCAGTCCCCCCATTTGCCTTCCCGGTGGAGCGTGATTTCCTATTTGGGCCATTTTCTCTTTATGCCATAAATTTAGAAACAGATCGATGAGACTCACCACAGATGATATCTAAGGCACAAAGAGTGATGTAAACAAAGCAGTTAAATGCTTCTTGGTTAACATGTTTTTCAAGTTTCTTAACCAATATATTTGCTTGTTCATTCATGATATCTAAGAAATCTTCCAGAATGGTAAAATGGAAAGTGGGTGTTAACATCTTTCTCCTGGAGCGCCATTTGTTTCCAGTACTAGAAATAAAATATGTGGTTACAAAAAACATACATATATAGAGAGAGAGAAAGAGAAAAGTAACATCCAAAACGATTAAAGCATAAATATAGCAAGTCAACAAAATTCTCCTGAAACACCTTCATCTACAGGTTCTCAAATGCTTTTGGCAGAATTACAAAGATATGCACATATCTATAAGATATTCATCTATAGTTACAAAATATGAATATTTTGGACATTGTTCCATAATATTAATGTTTAAAATAGCATTCATAAAATTGAAAAATTTAAGAATTTTTCTCAATTTCTGAGTTCCAAGTTTTTAACAAAATTTTTTTTCTCCTGCCATCAATACCTTAGTCCTCAGATGATCCTCACTCTCCGTGGTTCTACCTTGATGTCTCCCCTGCTCCACTTCTCCAAAGTCCCTACTAGGCTCCTGCCTTGCCCTTGTGGGGACCTCTCTCAGAGGATGGAACCCTGTTTCTAGATACCAGCTCACTGTACTTCTCCGGGGCTATCTTTTTGATTGGGTTTTCAAGATTTCCCTGCTCCAGACACTCCTTGCTTTACTGTGTCCTCCATCCTGCCCAGTCCCGTCCATCAGGAACTTCTGAGTCTTCCTGAACACTGGCGATAGTCACTATTGAACACCACAGCTGGAGATAACCGTTCACCTCGACTCTTGGCCTCTTGGCGGGCAAAGGGCAGCTGCCAGCTGGACCTTCCTTTCCAGCCTTTCTCCTCCTTTCTGACAGCACAGTCCTGCTACAGAAAAAAGCTACCCTGTGTCAATTCCTGAAGTCACAAGTTGCAGGTAGAAGTAACCGTTTCTATAGACAGCTTTACAAAGGTACACTGGCATACCTTGTAAGAAGTCCTAGGCCAAGCCATGGTTCTAAAAACTTGTACATAGAGGATTTGTCGATTTGCTTTGAACTAGTTAAAATTACCTTAGGAAGAGAAAAACATATTTTAGAGACATACAGACATCAAACAACCTTCCTGTAATTATAGGAATACCTGGCTAGAATACAGCTAGTTTTTAGGACATTCGCAACATTTATTTTCTCCGTGGTTCATTTTCAGTCCTGTGCCTCAAAGACTTTCAATTAGAGTTTTGAACATAAAACTAGCATTCAGTCTTGGGGACTCAATGCATTTGGGAGAAAGAAAGACCCAGACAATTCTCTAGTTCCTGCCATAAACCAGGGACAAAGTGGAGTTATTTAATGGGGGGAGGTGGAAAGTGAGGTGGGGAGGAGGCAAATCTGGAGGGTGAGCACATCTGGGGAGATGGAAATCATGGGTGTATTTTCAGGCGATGTTGACTTTGAGGCATTCAGGTTGCTGTGGTCTGAAAGCAAATGAGACAGCTAAGATAAGGCCTGAGCTGGAGATGCCTGTTGGAGTGTCCCCAGCATAGAGGCAGCAAGGGAAGCCATGAGTGTGATCGGATCACCAGGAGTCCACGTGAAGTGGGAGGAGGGATGGGGTCTAGGGCTGAGCACAGAGTGCTCACCAGGCTTCTTGCTCGAGTCCCCTACTCTGGACAGCTTTGCATCTGCATCCACCACACCAGCTTCTATTAACACTAGGCCAACAGTGGCTGAAATCCTGTCTGCCCTTCTCGCTCTCTTCTCTGAGCCAGGATTCTGGAGAAGCATGAGAAACTCCAACATTTTCACCATAATTAGAAAGACGTGTCCTGGCACTACTTCCTAGGAAATTTGGCCTTTAATTTTGGTCAACGGTCTGTTTACCCCATCTTTGTTTCCTCACCCAAATCCTTTTCTCACCATACTACAAGATGATTTCCCCAGACCTTTCAACTACTAAAAGGACTACAGTTTTTTGGAGGACTAATTTCAATAGCATGGGTTTGTAATATTTATCCCATAAACATCAAATTTACCTTGTCTTTTAAATTTAGAATAATAAGTTTGTCATTGATATAATATGAGACCTGAGCAACTTGAGGAAAACATATTTTATTAGTCATATATTTTTGAAGTCTTAAAATGGTATCTGGTGGATAACAAGTGCTCGCCTTGTGGAATAATTTATTTATGTTTCTAAAAAAATGATATCCTTTCAAAAAAAGAATAAATATAACGGGACCTGAGAGCAGTTGTGTACTTATATCTGGAGGGTGTTAATCTCCTAGGATTCAGGCTACATCTGAAAAACATTAAATTGCACCTATATAGTCTAAAATACTTAATGGAATGTTTTTTGCACTGAAATGGTTGAAATGTAAGGATGCATTATATTGATTCTGATGAGATTCTCACACTGTAAGATACACAGTGCAATAATGATCGTATTCACACGTACCCACCTCCACATTTTCTGCATTATAAAGGGCCACCATGGGCACCGGCCCGACCCAGAGCTTCAGGAGTGGCATGTGGCGGTATTCCTCTGTGTACTCAATGATCTGCTGAAAAAATTCTGGGGAAAAACATCAAATTTTTAATTCAATCAAGATGAGAATGTTGTGACCAGTATTGGACAAATATTTGTTTTCTCATTTTGATAAATATACTAATTAGGTAATGTGTTACTGTAGAGGAAGCCAGGTAGAGAGCATGTGTGAACTGTCTGTAATATTGCAACTTTTCTGTAAGTCTAAAGTTTTTTTCAAAATAGTATTTGCCACAGCAAATAAACATACATAATGCACGTTAGCTATTAGAGAATAATAATTATTAGGTTTTGATGTCCCAGAATGCGCATTCTTTCTAACGACTGCCTAATATCACAGAGCTAGTAAACGGTGGAACCTGGCTTGCACCGAGACTCCAGAACTTCCCCACACACTATGCTACTTCCAAATGTCTCTCAGATGAAGCAGCTGTAAAACTGGTATGAAAGGAGCTGGGTCAGATCACCAGTGTCAATCATCCTGAGTCATGCTAACATACTGCCTGCCCTGGTCCGGTCTACCAGAGGGGACAGGGAAGTCTCAATCTGTGATTCTAAGGCAGCAGGGCCCACAGTTGGGAGTAGCTGGGGAAGGCAGACATTGTCATTACGGACTGGAAAATGCTAGATTAGAGTTTAGAGGCCAGTTGGAAGCCAACTGCAATCTTCAAGGTGAAATGGCTGAGGCCAGTGTTTGGACATTAGCCACGAAACGAATGTGGCTACACCTCTTGTACACGAAAGACAGGATTCTTGAGAACAACGACTATGTCTTAGAATATTCTGGTATCCCCAACTTTGTTGAGGTCAACACTGGGCACAAAGCAGGGCCTCAATAAATGCTTGATTGACAACTAAAGAACTTAGTTGTCAATTCTAACCAACTTCTAGACAGTGATCTAGCAACTTTGCAAGCAATAAATTTAATCCTTAAAGTAACTCTGTAATATAGTCACTTTAACAAGTAAAGGGGGGAAAAACCCTCTAAGTTAAAGAGTTTTAAATAATTTCTCAAACAACTTGGATATACTGTTGGAAACTGAACAGTGGTTTTCCTGACGCCAAAATCCAGAACTGGCTGGTGGAATAAAAAGTCCCTTCGTAAAAGACAGTATTTGCCATTGTCTTCACTCTGAAAGTGACTGCAAGGAGAATTACTTTAAATAGTCCAGTCAGCTCACAGGTTGTTTTGAAACAGGTCTTATTCACCAGAGATTTTAATTACTGGAATCCCCAACAGAATATGATGAGACTTAAATATATTATTCCCCTATATTTTTGTACAATTATTTTTTAATACCGTAAAGCCTTAGGACAAAAGGTATGGTTAGCTCTGCTTTTAGAATTAACTGAGATGATTTTTAACAGTGTGATTTTCATATCTGGACTGGATTACTTGTTACATCAGTCATGATGATATTTGGTTGGCAAAGAGTTCGCTTGATTCTTTTCTGTCAAAATATTTTTAATATTCTGGTAAACACTCTTCCATGAGGCCTCATCCTGTGAAACTGAAATGGCAGCGTTATTTTTATTAGAGAAAACAAGTGAAAATGAGAAAAAGTCCTTCAAGCTTTAGAGTTAGTTAACGTTCAGCCTGTAGAACAATTACTGACAAATAAACCCAGAGGGAACTGGGTTCTGGTCGGCGCCCATTTTAAAATATGTCATTTTGGGCAAATCTTTTCAGTTCTGGGTACCTCAACTTAACCCCTGATGAAAATGAAGCACTGAGATCGAGTTCACGCTCCCTGACGGGGGGCTGTAAATACCAGGTACTTTTGAGAGCTTTCCAACTTCAAGTGATTTTTTTTCCCATCAATAAAATGTTCATCTCTGTTTCAAAACATGATTTTAATTTAAAAATTCACTCTTTAATAAACAAGGAGTTTGAAACCCTCCAAAGAAGTCTGCGATGGCCCTGCCGTCAGTTTCTGAACTGTTATTACGTAACCTCCTTTAAGTCACAGTTTCTGAACTGTTATTTGTAACCTCCTTTAAAATCACAGTTTCTTAACAGTTATTTGTAACCTCCTTTAAATCACAGTTTCTTAACTGTTATTTGCAACCTCCTTTAAAGGGCTAAAATATGAAGGTCAAGCGGGAACTGAAGCAGCGGTCAAGTCTTGTGATGCTGGCAGGAAGCCTCCAATGAATCTCCAGTCTCTTATTTTCCAAAGTGGGCGCGAGAGGAGGGCGGCTCCAAGCGTTAAGGTGTTGGCCAGTTCACAAGCGCTTTGCGCTCCCAGGGAGCTTCTGTTCCTAAGGCTTCCCAAGCCACGGCAGGAGGAAAGGCAGGGCTTGGAGAGCTGAGCAGCAGGGAGGTGGGAAAAGACTCAGGGCGGGGGTTTGGAAATACCGCATCCTGTGCTACACACAAAGAAAATGCTCACTTTGGGATGAGGCACTAGCCGTGTCGGCGGGTGCCAGGGGCAACGAATAGAACCGGGAGCGCATTCTCCACAGGGTGACAGGCTCCTCTCTCCTGCGGCCAGCGCCACAAGCAGCGGGCTCCTGGCCGATCGGAGGGTGGGGACGGGGCTGCGGACCCCGGTGCGCTTCAGGAGGGGCGCCGGCCCTTACCTCGCCCGTCCCGCTTCATCAGCAGCGCGTGGCCCACCAGCGGGTAGGCGCGGGCCACCGTGGGGATGGGCCGCATCTGCTGCCATTTCCTCACGTAGCTCGCCACCCTCTGCAGCAGGCTCAGGACCAGACTGGCGCCGGCCAGGGACACGGCACTCGCCGCGCCCCACAGCAGCAGCTTCTGCCACACGAGCCCCAGCCAGATGCCCGCCATCGCCCTGGCTGGCGACTGCTGGGTGCGCTCCGGGCGAGTGCGGGCCCGCGGGGACGTGATGAGAGGCGGCGCCGGCCGCGCACCGCCCCCTTCCCCTCGCGGGCCTGGCGCGCTCCCCGCTGCGGGGTCGCGGGGTCCCCGGAACGACGTTTCCCGCCTGGGCGGCGGCCAGGGAGGGCGCCACGGGGCTGTTCCTGCGCCCGGCCCGGGCTACGCAGCACCGCGGCCTCCGCGCTCGGCGCCAGCCGAAAGCGAAAGACCGGAAAACGGTTTCCGGGCCCCGGGGCGTGGTGATTGCACGAGGCCCGGAGGCTGGGCCGGGAGGAGGCCGGCGACAGACACTTCGGGCCGCCTCGGGATAGGGGTCGGGGGCCGTCGGAACGGTCACCGCGGCAGCCCGGCGCGCCCCAGCGGGGCTGGTCTGCGGGTCCTGCGAGGCCGCTCGGACGTGCGGGGTTCCGCGGGCGGGCAGCCTGCTCTGAAGGGGAAAGGAAGGCGCATCCGCCCCCGGCTCGGATCCCAGTTCTGCCGCGCAGCGCTCGCTCCCTGCGCGACCTCCAGGCCCCGGGAGGCGGGGCGCGTCCTCGCTCCGGCGGGGTCACACGGAGCAGCGGGCGCTGGGATCCAGGGTGGCCTTGGGGACGCAACTTTAGGAAAGTCACCTACCCGTGTGTGTGCGCTGGCCCCCTGGGACACTGGGAGCGAAATGAGGTGGTCGTGAGCCAGTTATTTTCCAAAATATGCACCAGGCACCAGACCGAGGAAGCCGGAGCCCCGGAGAGCACGGCGGGGCGGGTGGGGGAGGAAGGCGGGGGAGGCTGCTCAGCGGGTGCCGGGAGACCGCAGCCGCGGGGGACTCGCAGAAGAGCCAAGACTAGCCACCCAGCCTGGGAAGGGAGGGAAGGACCGCGAGAGGGTGCCCGATTTCAGCCCGGGGAGACGCGTGTCCCGGCTGCCAGTCTCTCTTCCCGCCAGAGGGCCCCGGTGCTGACCCCAGCCCCTTTTCCACGCTCGATGCTTCTTACAAAGAGGCCCGGCGAGGAGTGTCGCTCTCCAAGAGGCCAGACCCTTAGTAAGCACCACAGTGCCAGGAAGATGAAATAGAATGTCCTGGATGCCCGCTTTGCTTAATTACTAATTACGTTCGTTTACTCGAAGCCACTGCATAGGTTGCCCACAGCCACCTGCAGCGCCTCTGGAGTGCAGAGAAGAACATGCCTCAGGCTTTTCACCATCTGAATTTAAGTCATCTGCATGTGCTGACGTGAAACAGCAAGTGAACAAAATAAAACGGCCGGGCGCGGTGGCTCACGCCTGTAATCCCAGCACTTTGGGAGGTCGAGGCAGGCGGATCACAACGTCAGGAGATCGAGACCATCCTGGCTAACACGGTGAAACTCTGTCTCTACTAAAAATACAACAAATTAGCCGGGTGTGGTGGCGGGCACCTGTATTCCCAGCTACTCGGGAGGCTGAGGCAGGAGAACGGCGTGAACCCGGGAGGCGGAGCTTGCAGTGAGCCGAGATCGCGCCACTCACTCCAGCCTGGGCCACAGAGCGAGACTCCGTCTCAAACAAACAAAAAAAAACAAAACAAGTTGCAGAATGGAGTGTGTAAAGTAATGCCTTCTTTGGGAGAAAAGGTTTCTTTCTCTACGGCTCCACTAATGTCTGGAAGTAAAAGTACTGATCAGCTCTAAGGAGTGGGAATGAAGATGGGGAACTTACGCTTTATATTTCATTCACGTCTACATCGTTTAATCACTTTAACACTTAAAAAAAAATATGTTCACTTAGTATCTTTAAGCATATCTCATGGGCTTTAGTTTCCTCCCCTCTAAAGGGTTGAGGCTGAACTATAATAAGGTTAATTACAGCTATAAAAGTAAACAATTTGCCTACATCACACTGGGGATTCCAAAATAGGGGTAGAAAGGAAGGGGAGTAACGGTTGAAAAACTGTGTGTTGGGTACTGTGTTCGGTATTCAGCTGAGGGATCAAGAGAAACTCAAACCTCAGCATCAGGCAAATTTAACAAACCTGCACATGTGCTCCTGAATCTAAAATTAGAAAGAAAAACGGTTTGTCTCTGTCAGTCTCTGCTAACCTCTGTGGACAAAACAAGGCGGGTAACACACAACCCGTCCCCTCCAGAAGCAGAGAAGGGAGATTGCTCTGGGCAGCAGTGAGTCTTGGACTGAGTAGAAATGGTCAGAAGGCCGCAGAGCCAGGAGGGATAAAATGAGCTCAAGGGGCAGTGAGGGGCCCCTGCCTGGAGCACAGGGTCCCACACAGTGACAGGTGCAGGATGAGGTGGGTGGGTAGGGTGGAGCCAGCTTAGAGAGACCTGGACTGCCAGGCTTAGACGCTTTTATCTTTTTTTTTTTTTTTTTTCCAGACAGAGTCTCGCCTGTAGTCCAGGCTGGAGTGCAGTGGCGTGATCTCGGCTCACTGCAAGCTCTGCCTCCCGGGTTCACGCCATTCTCCTGCCTCAGTCTCCGGAGTAGCTGGGACTACAGGTGCCCACCACCATGCCCGGCTCATTTTTTGTATTTTTTAGTAAAGACGGGGTTTCATCCTGTTAGCCAGGATGGTCTTGATCTCCTGACCTCGTGATCCGCCCGCCTCGGCCTCCCAAAGTGCTGGGATTACAGGCATGAGCTAGCATGCCCGGCCAGACGCTTTATTTTGAAGCCAATCTGTGGGTGAAGAACAAAATAAAAACCTTGTCCCTTTGTTCCCTTAGTCATCTTTCTTATGCCTTCTTTGTTACCAGATAGGGCCTTTCTCATACTGCCCGGAATACTGAAATTTCAGACTAAACCAGTCAGGTGGCTGGGAGTGCAAGAAATCCTTGGCAAGACCTTCTTCCCGGAGAGCCTCCTAACAGCAGAGTACACAGTGTCACACCTCAGAATGTCCACCATGAAATGTACTGGTGCTCAGTGTAGCAGACGATTGCAAGGCCGATGAGAAGGCAATCTACCCACAACATTTATAAGCCTGCGGGCTGTCAGCTTCATGAGCTAATGCAGCTGAGTAGGAAGGCATCTCCTGACTTTCCCTCCTCAAGATCCATTCTCTATGATGCCCTTCCCACTTGAAAGAGCTTTCTTTAGTCAAGGTCTGTCTTTGATACTCTCTCCCCCTAGAAACCAGTGCTTTTGAAAGTCATGGCCAGAATATGTTATGAACAACAGAATGGTTTTATAAATGTTAATACTTTGATTTCCCAAATTTTCTGTCACTCGGAATGATTCTTAATACAAAAAAAATTACACTATAAAAATAAATTCATAGCTCAGTATAGAACTACATTATCTGCAAACTCTACTTACACATATCAAATCATAAAGGGTAGCAGGAAATTGTTGTGAAATTTTGAATCACAAGTACCAGGCTCAAATAAAGTATACAAACACCATCACTTCCATGTAACCACAACCTAGATCATGCAATACAACGTGAAATCATACAGCACGCACTCTTTCATATCTGGCTTCTTAAACTCAACACTAAGTTTAGATGAATTTGAAAAACAAGTTAGATAACTTATTACCAAGAAATACCAAGACTTATAAAATTATTAATTAAAATCATGTAATTGGCACACAAATGGAAAACAGCAATAGATCATATGTATGTGTACAATCACCTGATTTATGACAATCTATATTGACCGTTTTGCCATGTGTAATATTTTCCCTTATTTTTCACAGCTGTATATTATTCCATTGTTGGAATATATTATATCATTCATTTTACTGACAATGGATGTTTCAATTGTTTCCAGTTTTCCTATGTTGTGACGAATTTTGTATGACCACTGTTGTAGATGTCTTTTGATACACATATATACTTATTGCTTCTTCCTGTAAATATGCCCAGGAATGGAATTGTTAGATCATAAGGCATGCACACATTTAGACTTAGTACTTCTTGCCAGTTTTCCAAATTCGTACCAATTTACACACTCATGAGTAATCTCTGATAGTTCCAGTGGCTCCATTTACTTGTCAATGTTTGGTATTGTCTTAGCTGGAGTCTTGTAGTAAAACTGCATTGAGTTTGTTTATTTATTTAACTTATTTATTTATTTTTGTGAGACAGGATCTCACTCTCTCACTCAGACTGTAGTGCAGTGGCATGATCTCAGCTCACTGCAGCCTCAACTTCCCAGGCTCAAGCAATCCTCCCGCTTCAGCCCTCTGAGTAGGTGGGACAACAGGTGCACACCACACCAGGCTAATTTTTGTATTTTTAGTAGAGACAGGGTTTCACCATGTTGCCTAGGCTGAGCATTGAAATTTTAGTATGAATTTTCCTAGTAACTAGGACAGTGAGCATTATTTCAAAAGATTATTGGCCATTTCAGAGAGTACCTATTAAATCATTTTCCCATGTTTAACATTGTAATTGTCTGGATTTTTAGTGATTTGTAGGAATTATAAATAATGACTGAGCAATTATTATATAATAAATTATATATGAATACAAATCCTTTGCCAGCTATGTAGTGCAAGGTTCTTCCTCTCCGTAGTTTGCCTTGTCACCCTCTTAATGATGTTGTCATAGTTCATTTTGTGCTCCTATAACCAAATATCACAGACCAGTATGGTTCTGGAGGCTGGGAAGTCCAAGACAGAGGAGCCACATTTGATGAGGGCCTTCTGTTGCATCATCCCATGGCAGAAGGTGAAAAGGCACAACAGTAAACGAGAGAGAGCAAGAAGAAGGGGGCCGAATTCATCATTTAATTAGGAACCCACTCCCATGATAGTAGCATTAATCCATTTGTGAGGGCAGAGCCCTCGTGGCCTAATCACCTCTTAATGGTCCCACCTCTCACCACTGTTGCATTGGGGATTAGTTTCCAACACATGAACTTTGGGGGACACAGTCAAACCATCGCTGATGTATTTGAATAAGAATGTTTTGAAGTTTAATGAAGTCCAATTTATTTATCTTTTTCATTAATGTTTTATGCATCTTAGAAAATCTTTGCCTACCACAAGCTAAAACAGATATTCTCTCTTATATTAACTTCTAAAAGCTTCATAATCTTCCCTTTCTAATTTAGATCCAAGAACTTGCATCTGTAATGTATTTGTGTATGTATGTGATAGTAGAGTTCAACACCGTTCTAAATAAAAATATGAATATCAAATGGATTCAATACAATTTAATGAAAAGACTGTCTTTTAATCAATGCACAGAATGTCACCTTGTCATAAATCAGGAGATTGTACACATGTATATGATCTGTTCTGCTCTATTATTTGTCCATTTGTGTGCCAATAACAGGTAATTTCAATCAAAAATTTTATAAGTCTTGTTATTTTTTGGTATAAGTTATTTAACTTGTTTTTCAAATTCATCAAGACTATCTTGCTGTTTTGGGTGGGTGCTTTTTATTTCCCTGTAAATTTTAGAATAATAACACACACACACACACACACACACACACACACACTCCCTGATGGTATTTTAATTGTGATTGAATTAAATACAAAAA